ACAGGATAGAATGGTGTTTAGGGTTCTTGTACCTAGGGTTGCTATGAGTCGCAAGTGACTCAATGGCACATAACAACAACAAATGATATAATTTCTTAGGGATTTCAGTGGACAATAAAAATGTTGCTAGTTTTTAATATTATATTTAACACTATGATGAGCACTCATTGGGAAAATTTTTACATACATTATTAAATTTGACTATGGAATAAATGGTGAGAAGTTGCATTTCTGGGGTGATGCACATTTCCAAGGCGTGCACACTGATTCTCAACTTGTTCTCTGAACTGGCTATAGCATCACATAATCCCACCAGCAACACAGAATTTGTTTTCCTACTGACTCATCCTTAAGGTGGTGACACAAGGTCCAGAATGCCCAAGGATCATCCCAACCCAGGTGCTGATTGTGGAACAGACCATCAACAAGTCATGGGAAAGTTCAAACCAAAGATGAAGAAAATGGGGGATGGGGAAGGAGATCCCACAAGAAACAAAATGTGACCTTGCATTTTTTTCTCATCTGAATTTGAAAACCATCCTAAGAAAAGGTTTGAGGCATTGAACACTAATGATCTTAAGACGAGTTGTAGGATGACACGGAAAGTTCAGAGAGCATTATGCTGAGCAAACTAATCCATGGAGGTCTAGTGGCCTAGTGGCAAGAAGCTGCACTACAATCTCAAATTCACCAGTTTCTCTGCAGAAGAATGGGCAATCTTCTCTCATGCAATTAACTGCCTCTAAAAACCCACTAGGGGATCAGTGACGGGTCAGTTCCAACTCGATGATACACAACAACAACAAGGACAACTGCCAAAAACATTACTGTAACAATAAAAGAATAAATGAGCACGATGTGTTCAAAGGAAAGAGGAGTAAGTGAAGGGCAGAAGTCACTAGGGTAGCCAAGCTTACAGGGTGTATGGGAGAGTGCAGGGATAGGAAAGATTCGATGATAGGAAAGATATGATGTAATAACAGACATAGATTAATAGTAGTTAATTATGTAAAGTACAATGTTTATGAGTTATATGAAACACACTGTAAATGAAAAACTGTATAAAACACAATGTTGTTGTTAAGTGCCGTC